AAACGCTGCCATCACCAATAGTCAACGGGGGGAGGCGGCAAAAAGGGAGCCAAGCGAACATGAAAAAATAGGGAAAACACAAAAACAAAAGCCAAGGCAGCTGCAAAAGTTTTCCAAAGTGACAGGGACAAACGAAACGGAGAAAGGGAAAGGAACCGAACCGAACCGAGCTGACTGACTGACTGACTGACAAACAGGCAGACAAACAGACAGACAGACAGACAGTTGTCGCTAGAGAAATTATCTGAGAGCCTGCGAGCGAAGGAGGAAGAGTTGAAGGAGCCGGAAAACCTATTAAATATTTAACCTTATCGCAGTCGTTTCCACGGCATCAAGCCGGAAGTCTCAATGCGGCCAAGAAACCATTGCGGCCAATCTGCAATTGCCAACAGCCAACAGTGAACAGCGAACAGCAACAACAATGCCTCGCAGGACAACAATTGGTAGCGTTTTAAAAAGCGCCTCCAGGACACGCCGGCCACATTATGGCGCCCCATGAAACGCTTAAGCCATCAACACAATGTTCGGTAATTAACCCGGCTAAATACGATACGACGGCCAAATTATGCCAGGCTCAGGCGAAGACGAAACGTGTGCTCCCTTAATGTCCTGTTCCAGATACTCAGGCTCCTTGCGGAGCGGGCACCTTTAATCGCCCCCCTCCGTTTTCTGTCTAATTCCACGTATTTATCTCGGCCTATCTCCATTATTAAACAGCTACTACATTTTACGCATTTCTTTATCTTAAACAATTAGGAAGTCTGTTACGACACAAATTCTGTAGATTTTCACTTATAGTGTTAACAATCAATGTCTTCATAAGTTTAATTTTAAACATGAACAGGGCCAAAAATTTCGCCCATAGAAAAAGAACATATGTATAACCAAGTTTACATATTATAGCAAATAAACTTTCCTAACAAAAAATAAAACTGATAATTTATCTTACCAATATTTAATACGAAAAGATTTTAACTCTGGAAAAATGGTGTTTAAGGATTTATTAGTAACTAGTGTCAAAACAAAATAAATTTATATACACATGTGGACATCGTAGTTTCGTGTTTTTGCTATATTGTTTAACCTGATTGTGGGAAGAGCTAACCTTGCTTGAAATTTGTACCCAAATATTATAGAAAGGCAATGTCAACAATAAAAAAATGTAACTAAAAAACACAGTTGAAGCTTATAAATTTTGTCAAAAAAAATAAAAGAGGTTTATAATATTCTTCTTTATAAAGGAGAGCTAAGCTGAAAACTTATGATAACCATATTCAGATTCTTTCCACAAAAGGCTTAACTTTTGTTCCTATAAACTGTTCCAAGGACGTCCTACTTAACTGTATTGTACTGTATATTGGAGTTCCTGAACGAGTGAGTGCTTCCTATTTACTTTTTATCGGCCGCATTATCACGATTAAAATGTTGCAATTTGAAGGCTGGCTTTCAGAGCCATTAACAACTGTGCAGCATTCTTATCAGCCACAGGATGCAAACCCTCTGCCCACACCCACTCTCACACTCTCACACTCGCACACAAACACACATTAACCCACAAAGGACTCGGCAGCACAAAGTGAGAGCGCCGAAGAGAAAGCGTGTGGCTGAGCTCTGTTGTGGCGAGAGCGGAGAAAAGAGACAAAAGAGAAATGGGCGCTTTGTGTGCGTGTGTGTGTGTGTGTGTTGGTGGATTACCACAAAAGTGAGAGACGGTAAACAACAGACTCTTGACTCCTGGCTGTTTGGCTGCTTGGCTGTTGTCTGTTGGCTGCTGGCTGTCGACTCTCGGCTAAAAAACTCTCCGAGAAGACGGATACGAAGACCGAAAATCGCCCATTATCCATTTTTATTTTATCATCAATTTTATTACACACAAAGTAAAGAGGCGCAGCCGAGCAGCAAGTTGATGATGTACCAGGCCATCAACATCAATGAAAAACGCCAACAGCAAAAACAACAACGAAGGATGGAGAGAAAGCTCACGCACACACACAGAGAAATATATACATATATATATTTGGAAAAAAGAGATGCCGAGAGACGTGGATACAAAACACACGCCCTTTTGGAACGGAAAAGCCAAAACTGAACCGAAAACACTCGGCTGTCGACTTAGTGGCTAGACTAATGCTAATTGCAGGCGTATAGTACTTACTTAGGGCTGCATCTGTGTGCAGGCTGCAGTCTGGCGGATCCTTGGAAAATCCCAAGCCCGATGCTTATGCTATGTTACGAGTATATATATCCTGATCCAGTGACCGGGGCGAGGAATGTTTGTTGCTGAACACTTTCGTTTGCTTTGTATTATTTTGGTTTTAGATTTTTTGTATGCTTTTCGGCTTGCACTGGGGCCTTTGGTTTCTTGGAAGCTTCACAGCTTCTCAGCTTGGCACTTCACACTCGAGACACTTTCCTGGGGAAATCAAAGGATTGGGGCCACTTTAGACTGGGGGGTTCTGTTATTATTGTTCCACGGGTCTTGAACTCCTCGCACGGCTGGCAGTCGGGCAACTAAACGCAAATCACCTCATCTGCTCACGGGCCATAAAACGTCTTACGAGTGCTGCTTTGGCTGCTTTGCTTTGCTTCACTTTGCTTTGCTATGCTTTGCTGGCAAGGCAGGCACCTAAGAAAATTCCCCTCAATTGACCGAACAATAAACTCAATTTGCATTGAGCTCTCTGCATTGTGTGGCAAGTGTGCGAGTGTCTTTGTGTTTGTGCTGGCTTTCGCTTGATTGAATCAACAGCAAACAAGTGAGCAGATTTAGATTCGGACACTTTAACTAGTCGCACTGGATTAGTGCGCTTAAGTGGGCCTGAGGAGCGCTATTTGCCTCTATTTGGCACTTATTCAATTGAGCCGTTTTGGGGACGTTTTGGCAAATGCGCCACCAGGAGCGAGTAATTATGTACGAGTACCTCGCCCAGGAAAAATACACGCGTCCAGCTAACGACAAAGACCTTCAAGGGATGCTAAGTAGGTCGTCTTGTAAAAGCTACAGATTCACTGATTTTAACCCATAAATGCTGATTAATATTATTTTAAATTGTTTACATCTAAAAACTCGACATACCTAATCAGTTTAATTTTCAGTCAGTTATGATTTATATTTATCTAACTAACAAATTCAATACATCTTTTATACAAATTTTCGTATTGTTGTAAAAGCTCTGTAAATCTACAATTTGTGCTATTGCTGTTTATATTTTTTATTTATCTCCTTACTGCTTTACTATACCTATTAAACTTTTTCTTGTAATTTATTGTTATATCGTTTTTTTCAAATTTGTATACTTTCAATTGCACTTCTGTGAAATAGTTATTAAAAACCTAACGCTCTGCCCTTTTTTAATTTCCGTTCCTTGATTTATAATAATTTTTTCTCGCATTTCTTTGTCTGTTGTTGTGGTTGCTCTTTCTTTATTTTCTCCTCGTGCTGCTTCTTCTTGCCTTTGCTCTTGTTGTTGTTGATAAATTCGGATTTTTTGGGAGCGGCTCATTTGCTTTTCTCTTAAACTTTTCTTTTTTTCTCGCGTGGAAAAACGTTTTTGGCAGACTGGCTGAAGAAAATATACAAAAATGTACGCTAACTAGCAACAAATTCGATGGTGGGATAGAAAAAAAGAAAAGCACAACTCCCACATTATGTGGGAGATTGATTTTTTCTGGGTTTGTCAAAAAGGGGGTTTTCGAGTTTTCAAGAGGCTGCGGCCGCCGATGACGCGTTGCCAACTTAATATTTTTAAAGAAATAATTTTCTTTTATTGGACAAAATTCTTGTTTTGTTGTTGACCATTTTTGAGGCTGGTTTTTTTTTCATCACTATTTGTATTTTCTTTAGCTTTTCTTGAGGACCGCACATGAAAAATGCTTGCAAAATGGCACACTGACCACACATAAACACTCGCACACACACACACACACGGGGATTACATGCTGGCAGAGCAGCGGCAGCGGCGTTGGCAGAGGCAGCGACTGCCACCATTTCCATTTGCCTATTCCGCTACGTTTTTGTTGTCCTGCCAGAGGATGTGGTTGTTGTTGCCAGGATCCTTCTTTCTGGCACAATTTACCGAGCCAAGTTTCCTTTGAGCCGCCGTCGCTCTCGAGTCGCAAATTCACACTGAGCCGGAGTTTCGTTTTCGGCTTTGGTCCTCGGATGCTGATTCTGAATCTGATGCTGCTGCTGCTTTGGTCCTCTGCTGCCGCGGCCAAGGACTCAGGCGCAGGCTGTCGGCGCAGAAAGGCAGTCAACGAAACCGAAACCAAAACCATCGCCCCAATTCTCTTCGTCCTGCGTTGAAGAGCGAGGCAAAGCGGAAGAGAGCCGTTCAAGTGGGGAGCGGAAGCGCGTGGTGGATTAAGCACTTGAAAACTGTGGCGCCCGCACTTCAGCAAATGCGTTATAAATGCACATTACAATTAAGCGTAATTAGCTATATTTAGCCTGGTTTCCACTATTCAGCATTACAGTATTACGAGTTGAACAACGCAGCAAAATCCTTCAACTTTTTTTATGCTGGATGCATTCAATTCTGAGTTCAAAACAACAATTTAGAAAAAAAATGTATTTATTTGAATTAATTTTAGCAGTTTTAAAGTTTTTTACCGAGTGTCAAAATTAAACAAATGTTAAAAAGCAAAACACTAAAAGTCTGCTGTACATTTGAATGTATATTTTTAAAACGAAATTCTCAATCGAGTGTTAATACCAATAAATGTGATAATAGGTTATATAACCCTATATTGTACTTGTATAATCGAACAGAAAACCAAAAAATATAAAATAGGTATAAAAAATTTGCTTTCACTAAAATAAATGAAAACAGGCGTTTAACAACTTCAAATTTGGCAGATAGTTGGGTACAATCGGCTGCATCGTTTTAAAAGTGTTCTCGGTAGATGTACTTGCTAAGCCCAGAATGTGTACCTGCTACAATCGATAGTTCTAAGTTCGATAACAACAGTTGGAAGAGCGCCATCGATTTATTACCATCTCTACTGCCTATACTTTCCCAACATTTTTATATAACTTTCGGAGTGTCAGCGACACATAAACAAAATACAAAATCATAGCTTGTGCAAAATTAGATATTCCCTTCCCACGCCTGCAACCTGTGCTGCAACTTTAAATTTTCTGTATTTTGGATCAAGGTGATCCAGACATAGTAAACAAACAACAACAGCTGACACAGGGACAACAACAACAATAACAGCGAACAACCTGTAAGACCTTGAGGGGATTTTTCGGAATTATATTGCGCGACAGAGACAATCTAATCTAAATTATTCAACCAGGTGCGCGTCTGATTAATATTCCCGCTTAGATAAATTCAATTGGCAGACAAGTAGCATCATGTCGATCAGGAGAACCATGTCCACAACGGCCTCGAAAGAGTGGCGGGATTACTTTATGAGGTCAGTGTGCTTATTACTCCAAACCATGACATATTGTTAATATGACTTTTTGGATACGCAGCACCCACTTCTGGGGACCGGTCGCTAACTGGGGTATTCCGGTCGCTGCTCTGGCCGACACACAGAAGAGTCCCAAGTTCATCTCCGGAAAAATGACTTTTGGTAAGGGGAATCACTAGAATTTTGTCCACAATCAGAAGCCCTAACACGCGTAAAAGATGTCGTAATCGTGGTCGCTGTGATATTTTCTAAACAAATCACTCTATATTGCCTGATAAGCCAGATACGGAAACCGCCAAACCGGCTGCCGATAAGACTGCACAGAGAGAAATCCCTATCTCACATAACGCACAAAATCAGTGTCTATTGTCTGCTTAGTTTCTACCTAAAGTTGAAAACAAAATTTCGGTCTCAGTTTGGAATAACAATTAATTATTAACACTTTCATCTTAATTCTAATCTTATACACTCTTTTAGCTCTCACGCTCTATTCGTGCATCTTCATGCGATTTGCCTACAAGGTTCAACCCCGCAACTGGCTGCTCTTCGCCTGCCACGCCACCAACGCCACCGCCCAATCGATCCAGGGACTGCGCTTCCTCCACTACAATTACGGCGCCAAGGAGCAGCAGGCGTAAATAATGCAGCCTTGCCTTGAGACACACTTCCCCCGAGAATGACGCGCGATGCCACATCAAATGTTTACCCAACAGCAGCAGCTAGCGTAATTTACTGCCACCACACGCAACAAACATCTAGCAAATTGCACTGCCCCCGATTGTAACCCAAGTGGTGGAGTAATTGCCGTGAAGCACACCCGCACAAATGGCTGAATCTCGAATCGCGAATGTGTCGTGCCGCTGTCGTCGTTTTTCTGGGGCCAAATCCCAATTCCAATTGAGTCTATCCCAAACCTGTTGCGTTGCTACTTAGTTAATTCCGTTTTGGCAGTCGCTCAAAATTTGAAGTCGGTGCAATTTTTAGTTTACGAAAAAAATAAGTGTACAGAATATGGTTTAATAAAAAATGACAAAATGTAATTTTGTCTTCAATCTTCGACTCCAAAATGGTTGTAATAAAAATTGTATATGCAATTCTATCGAAAATATAACATTTTTAAAACCCAAGGCCGTCGAGGGAAAATCCAGGTGTTAAGCCCATCTATAGAAATGATCGCGATCGGGGAAAACCCGGTCTTCAAAGTTTTCTTTATATTAAATGTAAGGTACTAAATAAACAGGTTGTTTGATTTTGTCATGCTCATGGAACATGCTTTTATTTAAACGATTACGGTTATATATGTTGATAAAATATACATTTCAATTGTTCTTAACAATAGCATATTTTTTTGTTGACATTTTTGTAACTTTTTTTGTTCTTTCAATGGGGTTAAAACATACGAAATCGTAATCTCTTTTTTTTGTGCTTTTCTGGGTTTTTTTGATTACATTTAGGACAAAAACATATACTTGGGTAAAAACATGTTAATTTTTAAGGTTTCTCAAACATAATAATAATTATAGTTAAACACGCCTCGCGCTTTATTTGCGCCCTCTTTTCTATGCCTAGTGTGTGGCTAAAAATTGTATGTTTTACATCAATCCAGATGGAAATTGGACTTCTGCTCTCGACTTCTTCAACGACAACTTAACTAACTTAAAGAATGGATGACGACGAGGGGTCCTCGGACTAAGGCTATGCACCGCAATATGCGACAATCGGTAGGTAACGACAGTTGGCTCCATCTATTCTGGCTATGGCTACGAGAATCTTAGTGCTGCTCCTGCTTGATGTAGGTGCTGTTCTTGCGCTGGCGCTCCATCAGGTACTTCTTGAACTTGCGTTCCCGGAACGCCACCTCGTCGGCGAGGGCGCGCAGACGCAGATTCTCGGCCACCAGCTGGTCCTCCGCACTCTTCTCCTCCTCCTCGCGCTTCTTCGTCTTCCGGCGCGAGACGCGGCTGGCCTCGTTGTTCTTGATCCTGTCCTGGTAGGCCTTCCTCTCATCGCCGTTCATGCGCGACATGAGCTCCGGATCGGGTCCGTCGGCATGCTCCTTGGCAGGGCGTCCGCGCTTCCGCTTACCGTTGGCAGTGCCGCCGGCTGGCGAGGGGCTGAACTGTGAGGTGCTGGCCACCGAGAAGGCGGGTGAGGCGGGGGCAGTGAGGAAGCCGCCGAATCCTGTCTGGCAGGTTGGCGCCGCACTGCTGGAGGTGTTGGAGTAGTTGCTGCGCGGTGTGTTCGGCGGTGAGAAGTCGTTGGTGGTCTCCTCCTCGGCACTGCGCAGATCCTCTACGATTGCTTCGGTGATGGTGATTATGTTGTTGGATGTGTTGTTGGTGCTGGTATTGATGCCGCCGGCCATGAACTGTAAAAAAAAAGATACAATTGAGATTAGAAGATATTAGTGGATGTATAGGTTTCGTTTTTGTAAAGTAACTCTACATTATTAAATGTATATAATACACAAATAAAATGCAATCAAAAACCACTTGAAATAATTTATTTTCACAAGAACTTACCTTATCGAAATCCAGGACATGGTCGATGATTTCGGGCGTGCTCAGGTTGACGGTGGGCGTTGGCTGGCTGTTGATCTGGAGTGCCAGCCGGCTGCGCTTGAGCGGCTGCTCCTCGACCACGGGAGCCGGAGCGGAGCGCTTAAGCACAGAGATGACAGGGTGTATGATGGGGGTTGGGATGGCCACGTCGACGTCGTCGCCGCTGCTGGCAAAGCTGCCGCTGGGCTTGGCGACTTCCCCAAGGCCGAAGCCGAGCGACTCCTGGCTGCAGGGGTAGAGACTGTCGCCGTCGCAGCTGGCCATGTCGGGGACGTGGGGCTCCTCGATGATGTATTTGGTGTTACTGCTGGTGGAGGTGGCTTGAGAGAAGGTGCACAGGAGGGGGTCCTGGGAGGAGGTCAGCATGGCCGACAGCTGTTGGTATTGGGGGATGCTGCTGATGAGGTCGGGACCGCCACCCTGGTTGAAGTCGATGCCGTCGTCCATGGGCCAGGACGACATGTCCATGGTCGCCTCCTCGCTGGCCAGTGGCACGTCATCCATGCCTAAGAAGTCGTTGTTTATGTTGTCGTTGTTCATCTCGTCCATCGCCGGACTGTTGGGATCAATCTTCTTGCCCTCGAGCTCAAGATCCTGGGCAAACATGTTTATATCAAAGTCAAGAATATCCGTCTCAGTAAAAATCTCCTTTCCGTTTTCGCTGCTGCACGTCGATGACGTTGCTTCTATATCTTGCAGGTATTCTGTGACAAAGGAAAATTATCATTAGTATTGGGCGTTAATATAAGGGGCAGATCGTGGTAGCAATTATTGTGTGTAAATACGATTTAGTTTAAAGTACCCAATATTTTTTGTTTGGAGAAAGGGTTGAGGTATCAGTAAACGGTTATATTCTTCTCAAGTGTTCACATTTGCAACATATTAAAATAATACAACTATTCAAACCGAATCGTTAAAATAGATTTCAAATGTTTATCCAAACTAGGTTACATCTTTTTAATAATTCTAAGATATTTTACATCTACAAAACATCTACGCCATATTGATTCTACACAGTTTCGCTACTGAAGTGTTGCCAAATTCTTCCGCAGTACATTGCCATGGAGGCGCCAGTGTTATATTTACTCGACTTAAAAACTCTACACAGTATGGCTGTTTGTAAAGCGGACTATTGAGAGTGACTCATAAGCCATCTCGCTTACTCGCTGCTTTGTTGTGAAATTAAAACAACGAAGGAAAAGAAAAACAGAAAGCAAAAAAGGCGAACAACAACAAGAAAAAGAAACAGTTTTGGATAAAGCAAAAAAAAAAAAAAAAAGAAATTTCAACCAATAATTTTCTTAAATATGTATATACATTAAAAAAATTGAGATTATAAAAATAATAAATTATGTTAATTACTAATTGGTTAGTTTTATATTTTACATATACATATATTTATTATATATATGTATGTATGTATGTAAATATGTACGTGCATATAAAATATTAAAATCCAATTTTCTTTACTTTGTTTCCAAAACATAAGTAAAACAAATGCCTTCAGTGCGCCTATGTGCATATTTGTTTAAAACATATTCATAGAACAGATATGTACCTCTATTGGCATCCCCACATAATGACCAATTCGCATTTTGCCCACCGGCTGACAACAAACACATGAAAATCGAACACGATCGTTCGTGCTCGCGTGCGCAACACTTGTGTGTGTACGTGTGTGCCTGTGCCAAGTTAGGGGTTGGCTTCGGACTGACACACATTTTTAAATACCAAAAACATGAAACTGACAAAATAAAGTATGTAAATATATCTAAAATGGAAGAAATGCAAAAAGAAAACAAAAACAAATTTTTAATATGATTTGTTGCCTATCAATGCCAAGTGCAATTTAAAACTAATAAAAAATTATTCAAAAATGAGTATAGATTAAGTTTCAGAAAATATTCACCTTTAGCTGGGAGTTATATATCTGCGCCTAATATTGTCTGTATTGGAACGTATCCGCAGATCAAAAAAGGGCTCTTACCGCTTGAACGAATGAAAACAAACTGTGAAGAACAGCCGCGATTTGGAGCTCAAGAGCCGGCAACATCGTTTACCTTGCATTGGTGTGTGAGAGGGTGAGAGAGAGCCATCGCTCATGCCTCTCTACACAGCTGTCTGCGCAACAAGTAGCGGTTGTCTTGCTCACTCCTGGGCAATACATGCACGGAGTTGAGAGTGAGAGGAAGAGCAAGAGCTCTGCCGCGTTGGGGCTTGCTCCTCATCGCAGTGTTCTTTCGCCAATTACATAGATTTTTGACGGCCATAGGCCGGCGAAAATAAGTTAACAGTTCGGAATGCACCAATACAATTGCTACTCGAATTTCACCAGAGCGAAGAAGGTTCGCGAATGTGTGTTAATACCATTTAAGGCAGTGCGTTTGTCCCATAACAAGTGCGATTTCTTAAAGGGAAGTGCATTAGTCAATTGGGTGATCTTACAGAGATCGCCAAAGTTAAAAAAGTCAAATTTTTTTGTTAATAAGGGTAGAAACTCTAAAAATACCAGTAAAGAAAGATTAAACCTTACTAATAGTTTAATTAAAATGAGTAAAAACTCCTTTTAGCTGAAATATTGCGTATACGCACTGCATATTGGCAAAACCTAACATATACCTATGCATGAGAGAGTGAGAGTGAGAGAGCGGCTGAATCGAGTTACAGTGTATGTGTGAGATACATTTTCATTGCCGGTGGCAAAGAATAGCCATCTCTTTCTTGACAGAGGCTCGAGAGGCTTGTGCTTCACATAAAAGGTGGAGAGAGAGGGAGAAAGAGAGAGGAAACTGGTGCAAGGAGTCTGGAGAAGACCCACACACCCCCACCACGCAGGTGTCCGTGTGTGGCGACAAACTATCTCTCCCTCTCTCAAATTTTGCCGATCATTCTAAATGAATTTCACAACAAATTTAAAATAACCCTAACAACTTGTCAAATTAATAAAAGATCTTCAAAACTACTACTGAATTCGAATTTATGTACATCATAGATACATAATTATGTACCAGTATGCTCATGACTAAATAGAGATTTTCTTGCAATTGCCGGCTAGAAACACGTGCGAGAATTTGGGTCATGAATCAGCTGTTGCACTCTTTCGATTTTGACGTCACAACGGAACGAGCCTCTTTGTTAAATTAACAAACAATTCAATAATCAACATAAAAAGATTATATGTACATACATAGTATGTACCTTTAAGAATAGCCTATCCAAATATGCTACCCATGGGAATGGGCTTAAAAAAGGCTGACTCAACTAAGAATCAACTAATTATTACTATGTGATTATCTGCAATATATATATGCACATATGTGTATGCATTGCAATATATGAACATTGTGAATATACAAAAATGTTTGTGGTTTTGCACTTTTTTGCACTACTTTTACAGTTCAAGCTAGCGTGGAAATACATGGGTAACCTGAATGTATGAAATCAATAAAATATATACAGAGAAAGGCAAAAAGAATGCGAACAGCTAATCAGATACGAATGCATATATCCGAAGGCAACAACGCACATAAACGAGTACATTTAGAAAATTGATCGTACCTCTTCAACTCTGTTGCTGACTAGGCTGAGAACCAAATATTATATATAAGCAGTTTACGTCATTTAACTTGTTCGTACATCTTGTCGCTTATCGCTGTAATTCGCACTGTACGGGTGCCAAAGTTGGGAGACCAACAAGAATATTTAAACTGCGCAGTTAAGTACGATTCTAAGTGAATCACTCCGGTCGCCAAATGCGAGCCTGAACTTCATCGATAAGAGATTGAACTTTAGAAAATGAAAAAGGCCAACATGTTGCTAACCGCAGACACTTGACCATAAAATATTTCAGGAATAAAATAATGGAAAATCTACTATCGAATAGTTTATTTTTCCAAAGAGCAGAAAACTATCAGGAAAGCGAAGAAACTGTTTTTAAAAAGAATTGTTTTAAAAAGAAGGTTGAAAACGGATAAAGTTTTTAATTAAAGAAATAGTTATTCTGGTTGCAACTAACAAATTTCCTAACACTTCGGCATAGCAAAAAATTTAAAAAAAAAGTCTACAACACTTTGGTACAACGTAAAAATTAATTGAATTACACTAAAAGCTTAGTTCAACTTCTTAAGAGTTTTCAGTTTTTTTTAGTTCCTTAATAAACTAATAGGAATAAATAAATAATGTTTAAAGCAAGTTACTTTAAGAATAAGTACAGGAAGATTTTATAGTTTCAGTTGTTGAAACTGGAAACTACAATTGCCAACTAAGCGGCTTATGATTCTACGAGAGACACAAGAAACTCATTTATATAAACAACTTGGCGAAAGGTTAAACTTTGATTTCTAGAATTTTATGGCGACAAACTCAAGACAAATTAAGATGGCTAGAAACATTTGAAAGAAAGAAGAGACCGATAAATGGAAGTACATAGATCGAATATCTGGCAGATATCGATCGTACGAGTTATTACGTTGCCATTTACCGAGAACAGGGGCGGAGTGGGGGCGCCTTTTGCCCCCAGACCCCCCTCAATCTTTCACTCGTTTCTTCAATGGGTCATTGCACTGTGATTATCGCCTTCGTCCGCTAAGTGGTTACTGTACCTCGACGTCCTTGGCAGAGCGACAGCGCCGGATCCTTGGGATCCCGGGCGGTGCTCGATGCCTGCTATCTGACTCTTTCTCCAACTGATTGTGAATTTTTCGCTTTTTTTTTGTTTACTTTTTTTGTAGCAACAGTAATGAGAGAGTGCTGGGTACATAGGCAACACACACACAAAACACAGTACTCACCATCAATGAACACCGGAACGTCTATCTCTTCAACTGTGGCAGTAGGCATTGCTCCACTCATATCCTGGCGGAATGGCGGCTCGTCCGCACCTGGTAGCAGGATACCAGCCATGGCTGCCAGGGTCTGTGTCTGAGGCTTGCTCGTCGAAACCGGGACCGTTTGGTTCACCATTGCCGTAGTCGTGGTAGTCGCTAAACCTGCCACCGTTTCTGGTTGCTGGGGGGATGTTGGTATCCCAGTCGTGAGGCACGTTGAGATACGGGACCTCCTCGCCGAACCTGTCGGATTTACTAAAGGACTCGTGGCAGGCGAGGCCACGTGGTTGGACGGCGGACGCGTTGGTACCGACCCTGGTAAAAAGGGTATTCTGATGACGCGAGTTCGAGGCGCCCTGTGCTCTGTCCCGCTGGAATTGCTGTTGCTGCTGTTGTTGCTGCTGTTGCTGTTGCAGTTGTTGTTGCAGTTGTTGCTGTTGCTTGTGGGCACTCTGATCAGGAGTATTCTGGGATTTGGCTTGCTGTCTATCACGATCGGTATTGTGGTGATCGTCGACGTAGGCAAATCCCTCATACGCTCCGTTGGCCTCGTTCTCCTCTGAGAGCAGCAGCAATTGGGCGACGAGTTTGTCGCGCCAGTTATCGGGTCCTGGGATGTTGCGTGCCCCGCCCGGATTGTCGCCTCGTATGTGGGTGCCTGTTGTACTCGTGCTTGCGGCTCCCGGATCGTCAATATTATATCTCTTGGATTTTCGGTAGCCCTCCTCGTTGATGTTGCACTGTTTAGGGGTCTCGTTGGCAGTACAATCTGATGGGTTGCTCTTGGTGTTGCTCTTGGGGGTGTTGTTGCTGTTGCTCTGCTCTGGGATTGATGCGTTGCTGCTGCTTGATTCGCTCTTGGGCCTGGCTTGGCTGGATTGGGCTTCGACGTTGAATGCCATTTTGAACGTGGCTGTTTTTTGTTGGTTTTTTGTTTTTATGGCAATTTACGGTTTGGTGTACGGTTCGTTTTCAATCGGTTTCGGTTCGACAGGATTTCAGAATTTATACGTGTGTTCGTATAGTTTGTATCGATTTCGGACAGGATTTGGCGATGAGTGGAGCAAGCGCAGTTAAGAGTGTTCGTAATATTTGTTTTGATTTTTATGTGAAAGAAAATAGACAAAAGAAAAAAGATTTCGTTATTACACAGATCGACGACGGGCTGAAGCGCTATCCTTTTTTCGAAGGGTTCGCGCCCCAAAAAATCATTTGGCTTGGGTGGGTTAGCAAATGTACAAGTTGTGGGTTGTGGGCCTCAGTGTCGCAAGGATATCCAAGGATATGCCTGGCCACCGATTTACTGAACCCTCGTGTTTGATTGGCGACTTTCATCAGCTTGGATGTTTGATGCTTTTTGTGTCGAGATGGGTGGATAGGTGGTTGGTTATGTGGATGGGTTCTTTCTTGGCCATGTTTTGTTAGTTTGCTTTCCTTTTTTCATATGCTTTTCTTTTTTCCCATTTTCTTTCTGTGTTTTTTTAAAATCTTTTCCTTTTGTTTTTTTTAGTATTTTTTGTATGGATTACTCCTTTTTTTATTTGGAATTACTCCTTTTTTAATGGAATTGCTCCTTTTTTGTATGGAATTACTCCTTTTTAAATGGAATTGCTCCTTTTTTAAATGGAATTGCTCCTTTTTGTATGGAATTGCTCCTTTTTTCTTTTTTTCTTTTGTATTTTGTCTTTTTTCTTTTTTCATAAAACATTCTTACTCACTAGTGGTGCAAGGACTAAGAAAGTCGTTCAATCATGAGGCATGGCTTAATAATAGGCGACGAAAGGATAATGTATACTCACTTTAAGTTGACCGTTAGAAAGAAACAATGAAATTGTTAGGGTCCCTCTAAACAAGCTCTAAAAGAGTCGTCGACACAAGTTCCCCTTAAGCTGTAAGCAAAGAAATGGAGAAGGCGCATTACTTATAGGCCCCACAGTACGGTGATCATTATGATAAGGGCGATGGGATTTCGCTAAGTACTCTTCAGTTACAATTAAAGATAATTTTGTTTTTGAACCTCAAACGGTTCCTGATTCGATAGGGGCGCCTTTCAAATGTCAGATAAGATTCTTGGGCCCCCAAACACACGCCTATTTTTGGAGGCGCCTTGTGCTACGAAAAGCTTTTGTTGAATTTCACAACAGGCCCGCAAAAACAACAACATGGCGGACCCAACAGGTCTTCATACACCAGATGGCTTTATCAGCGGTGGGAAAAGGAGGGGTGGGGGGTTAATCAGCAGTTGGCAACCCCTGCATACCGTTTCCCCTCCCCTAATTATCACTTAGATAATTAAGGCGCGCGTTCGTGTCGCTACATTATTATCGCGCTCCGATATCTTGAATCGTGCGGCCGGTAAAACAACACCAAAAGCCAATTACCGGCCAGTGGAAAAATTTCCCCCAAAAGCTCACGCGAGCTTTACCTAATTACTCACTAATAAATGTCATAGGAACATATAGCGCCCTATAATTAAATGTTTCGAATCAAAATCCCCTACGAACTATTGTTCATTTCGATTGTATCTGTATCTGTAAATGTATCTGTAGCTGCGTTCGCTCGAGGGCAAGTGACGTCAGCAGTGCACTTAAGTGATTCAATATGGCGACGTTTAAAAAAACAAAGTTAAAGCTCTCTATAACGTATGGTACATATATGAATGCCTAAGATTTTCACTTTAAGTACTTTTGCACTACTTACATAAATTCGGTGAATGTGTCTTCAAGAGCGGTGGTCTGGTTTATTGAAAACCCGACCTTTAGTTCACTTGTCCTTTCTGCTGCGCAATAGGTTGGGTGGTTCCTGGCACCACCACTGGGTTACTTGATCAAGTCCGGCCGTTTCTCGGATCTGGTATATAACTTTTGCCACCGACAAATGTCCAAAGTTGTTGTTCCGCGTTGAACAACAACGATTGCTAAGTCTTTGCACTTGGGTTCCTTGCGACAGGAACGTGGATGATCTGTATGGCTTCACTTGGTTCTGTATGGGCAGAACTATACACTTTGGAATCAGCGTTAGTCAACCGACTGCTTGGAGTTTTCACTACGTATTAAATCGAAACAACTGACGGCGGTTGGCTGCTAGTGGCAAACAGAATCGAGACTGTCGGACTTCGTGGGCACTGTGAATTTCATTCGTTGTGAAATTCAAAAAGCACCCCAGAAACCGGTTTGCCATAGCCAGATACTTTTCGTATCGGTGTGCGAGCGAGCTTTGTGTATATCGACTCACACTCAGATACCTGCTATACGAACTGTGAGATACGTTTGGTGTACGAGCGAGATGGCGCTAAATTTCCCGTGTGCCAGATGGGCTGCTTTTAGCAAATTTCCCTGGCATATACGAGCTACATGTTGAAGGCCTTTGTCCCAGCCGGCCGGTGTTTTGCTTAAAGCAAAACATTGGCAAGTTGATCTATATGGGTATTCATGAGTTAGTGCAGGGTTCATTTCAAAAAGCTACTGTGTGGGAAGCATTTTCGCTATGACTCATTGTTTGTTTGGGTGCGCGAAACAGAAAAATTAAAATCTGTCATTGCTTGTCAACTGACCTATCACAAACTGAATGCATTAAATGGATAGACATCTAAAAACTGTGGTTCGTTGAAAATAGCAAAAGAAGTATTATTTCTTAACAATTTAGAACTAACCTACATATGTAAATAAATATGTAGCTACATATATAAGACTAAAAACCGAACTTTCTAAATTAGGCAACATTTAGTTATTTCTTATGACGTAATAATAAACTATAATATTTTTTTAATACATATTTAAAATTCAAGGTATAGGTATTGTAAATTACCGAAGAACTAAAAAAATTATATAAAGAGGAATATTCAAACAGTGAAGACAGCTAAATTGCTATAGGTACTTGTTGAACTCTTTTTTGCTAAGAGCTCTTCATTCGATGCCGGTTTTGAAAGTGCATAAAAATTCAACCCTAATTGTTTTATTTATAATGCTTGTTTGCCTTTTGACTGTGAACCCCACGACAACCCAAAAGTCGTTGAGTATTTAAAAAGGGGATTTTTTTTAAATAGTCTTTCTCTTTCTGTTAACTTCCACACACTCAAATAAGAAAGCTCTTTTGTTGTAGTATTAGTAGCCAGTTTGTAACTGTGTGCGCAGATAAAAGCTGTTTGAATTCTCGGAATCGAAGAGCTTCCATCTCCCACAAGCCTACATACCATGATTAAGCTTTTACTGATAATTAAAGAAATTCATGAGTCACGCTGAAAAACAGAAATCACCAAAGCGCAAAATGAGCTTCATAAAAAAAAACTTGGCAAAAACTGTCATCATGTGATATTTGTAATGGGCTTCATATGCAGAGAAGTACATGGCGTGGGGTTTTTACCTTTGGCCACGTCTGATTTTGATCGCAAAAAGCTGTGGAGCTAATTGCCAGTCCAAATTGGTGCGCAAAATTCGTGGAATTTTCGCCCAAATGGCACGCAGACACTGACTTTCAAATGCTAATCTGGCACCGAGCACCAACTGGCACGAGATCTTGGGCGATCGAAGACGACCATCAACAATGGTCGGCCTCAGTTGGCAAATACACAAAATAAATGGCCAACTGGCTGGGGGATTTCTTTCAGACTTTTCACGGTGACTGAGCGTTTTTCGACCCCAATAAATGGCTAGATAGTGGTGTTCGTAGCTAAACTATTGGCGCATAAAGTCTCTTCCTTGTTTGCAATCTTATCTGGAATTTGCTATCAATTCAGTATATCTGTAACGTGAGCCAGAAATGTGGGAAAGAAAAATATATGACTAAGTTTGAAGACATTTTCAATAAACGTTTGTCCGGTATTTCCAAAAATGGGTATTATATCAAACTTGTTCAGTGTGCTCATTTCTCAAGGTTGCCTACTTATTTATAATTGTTATGCTATAACTTTTGGGTATTTGGTAAGGTCTCATACAAATGCAAGGTTTCAATTTAAGGATTAAACTCATGTTATAGTTGGGTTGCTCCATATTTTTTTAAGTATCGCCAACTAATTGAAAAAGTTTACGTTCCCAAACATGATTATTTTTCAGCTACCATTACTTGTAGCAACTGTTTTCATAAAACTAAGGTACCCCCAGAATATATTATTGATTACCCTATCAATTTGTAAGTTTACAGTAGGCCTAAAATGGAGGTCTCGACCACCCCCGTGTAATTCATAAGTAGTGCCAATGTCAATGACTCTGTAGTAGCAACAAAAGTCTGGCAACAAATGTTGCTAAATTCGATATAGTAAATGTTGCTGGGGTCAGGAACCTGATAGTGGATATGATAGTATGATAGTTAGCTTACCCTTCATCATGTTGCTGCCGTTGTAAGCAGGTTCCAATGACGACGGCACAAATATGTTGATCCTGTTTGCTCCTTGTTTCCGCTTGATTTCGATTCCTTCGTATCTCTTCAAAAAGAAGTAACGCTAAAGCGACGGCGAATGAGGTCCCGCTTCTTCCGTAGCAACTTGGAGCGCTTCAAGATCTTTGTGCCCGTACCAGTACCGGTAGTAATCGTCGGAATAATGGTCAAATTGTTGCAATAACAGTTGTTATTATGCCAGCCACGCATACGCATACACATAAAATTGTTGAGCATGGGAACCTGCTGCTGCGAATGTTGCACACACATGAAGACAACGACAGGCGAATCTTGCATGACGTCCTTGCTCGATGGGGTGGAGGATTTTCCGCTTTTCCTCGCCACTGCTGTTGCTGTTGTTGGTCTTGTTGCTCCAACCGCAGACAGAACGAACATAATATTGGGGCTAAAACGCCTTTCGAATTGGTATTAATCACACACGCGGCGGACTACAGACAGCTGTTGCTATAGTGAATCCGTTTTTAGATCGGACTTATGTTTAATGTACTCGACAAAGTGTTAATTCACACACGCTTATTTGTTTAGCATCTAGATACAACTCTTATCTGAGATACTGTATGTAAAGTATACTGCAATTGTTTGTTTTTTGCCAATTTATTGCGTCTTTCGCAAATGTTTTTCGGGCAAACGTAGGTTTATCACTTTGAACTTTGCACTCAACGTTGAGTTTATCTGGTAATCTTTTACACGAAAAGAAATTATTGTTCTATGAATAAGAAATCTTTGTAACGATGTTCAGCTTTTGATGCCATTAAGAATCGCACTTGATCGGCGTTTGGTTATAGAAATTCGAATCGAAGATTTCACAAATTCCACATTGACTTGCACGCGCTGTTGGGCTTTATCTGATTTGACTCACTGAAAATGTTGTACTGTTCACGATGAAGTATTGTTACTAACTGACTCAACAGCGAGCGCTGGACGAGTGCCGCTGTCCGGGGTTGATATAAAATCCGCTGACGTCGTTGCCGATTCTCCTCCACCGCCATGTCCACATACCCTTCCCCCTGTCCATTTCACTCACGCTCTCAGCAGCGTTGTCTATTTCTATGGCCGTGCCCCCAAAAACATTTCCACGCACCAATCTCCTGCTTTTCAAGATGCTGGGGACAGGCCACATGGACATGCGTCATTCCGAATCTATCCTTAACTGGTTTAAAGTTGTATGATTTAGCACACAAAGGTGTTAACAGTGTTAACTTATGTATATGTTTCGTTAACACTATAAGATCAATAAATTTCTTAATTTTAATAATTTGCTTTACTAAAAGATAAATATTTTTGTTAACATATAATAACCAGTAAAAAAAACTTTAAAATAAGTAACAAATTTTTAAGAGCGAAATAGTAGAAGATATATTATATTATCATTACTTTTTCAACAAATTTGGTGAAGATATTGTGAAAATCGTAGTGTGTTAGATCATAAATATTATTATTGTTGGCTCGCGACACTCAACGTCGAAGTGGCCTTAATAACGTTTTGGCCACACTGGGGCTTATCAAACGCCGCCGAAATGGCTACAACAGATAAGGGGAGCTAAAAAAAGATTATTAAAAAGATAATTTACAAAAGTACCTACGATGGTTGTAAATTATCGCAAATTTGTGTACCTTTATCTGAAAGGTTAATAAACTGGAAACTTTTTGGTATCTGCAGTGTAAGTCAATACAAATAAATAGAAAAGAACAGTTTTTTATTTATTAGAAAAGCAGTTAAATATTAAATGACAGCAAACAAATTAATACATTATTAAAACATTTGTAAACTTTAATATTTAATGTTTTTTTAGAAATAAACAATAAAAATGTATTTCGATTATGAAAAATTTCTTTTTGAACAATGAGCTGCCTAACTTAAACAAATCTAATGATTGGCCGCCTATGACCGTTCCAAAAATCGTAGGGCAACTGGTTTGGCGGCTTGCCATGGAGCAACAACAACTGAAACAATACAGCATTTCGCACTCTTTCTCTCCCACTGAGTGAAACTCTCTCTCGGTGTTTTTCAGCCAGATTGGCTGATGCAACACTTGCCACACGTTGCAACAGCTGTGTGGGCCCGGCCCAGCTGATTGTTGGCTTGTTGCCAAAGTCAGAGGAAATCTCTTGGCAACATGATTCGGAAAATTCAAAATGTTGCTAAACATTTTTATCGAAAGTTCCGGTTCAATTTCCACGCCAATGTGGGCCAAAATGGGGTGGCTTAAACCGTTGCTACTAGGCAGCTAAAAAAAGCCGGCAAATGATTCATTGTGGGGTGTTCACCAATTACATAATGTTCTAACATAACCCATCGCTGCCTCGCTGTAGTCGTTGAAACAAATTGCGCTTTAGGGTATTAAACAGTTTGTGGGTTCACCCTATACAAACATATGCATTTTTTGCAAAAATGTATGTATATGAATTAGCGGAAGAACACTGACGTGGTTCCATTGGGGCACTGGGCCTGTTTTTATCTTGTGTGTGGGGCAAGATAAAATCAGAAACCGCAACGTGTTGATCAACTAATGGACAGCGTCAGCCAAAAATTATGATAATGCAGGAGTTGAATACATTTTAAATGGATTTTCCATGTCAGTCCCCAAATAATTTTTCTTATTATTATACTGTTTTGTCTTTATTCGGAAACTGTATAAAACGCACAAAAACAAAAAAAATACAATTTTTGCAATTATCGTGGTTTGGTTGTAAAATAATGTCAACCACAATTTACAAAAGCTTGTCCGAGTTTAATTAAATATTATTATTAATTTCAAGAAGAGGCCCATATACCCACTTTAAGTCTTGTCTTAAAGGGCTTAACCGTTCCCAGGTTGCCAAGAACCAAGTTACATGCCGCAATTCAAAAATTCAGCACCATAGCCGGTGTCCTATATCACATGTGGGTACTGGGGATCTATCGAAATATAAGTTTAAAAGAAATTTAAGTTCATCAGCTGCTACCATTTTACTGGGACACACACCAAAAACCTGGAATTAAACAAATCAGAAAAATAGTAATTCCCTGTCCCTTTGGTCTCACACCCAAGTAAAACGGAATCGGGAGTCGATGATATCGAAGTAGACGGTATCAAAGGCTGCCAAAACTGTTGCCTTATGTTTTAACTAACTAATTCTTAATTATACAACATTTTAACTAACTTATTTTTATAAATACATAAACAATATTTACATTTATTTTTTTAGATTTAGTATTGTTTACTTGAAGTTAATAAATACAAATAATACACCGTATAAAGTTGCGGTTCTTTAAAAGGTTACTTTATTTTAAATATTATTTATTTAAAAATTTAAATAGTCAATAGCGAAATCAATAAATTTGTACATCTTGAATTAGTCAAGAATTATTTCCTCTCAATTTAACCTTTTTGGTAAACATAATGGAAAATGGTTTATACAAAAGTTTCAAGAGTGTCAATATACAAAGGCAACCCATGCACAAACAAAAATATTTTCTGACCTAAACACTTGCTGCTGTAGTTTTATTTATTGTGCGGGCCCTGTAGTCAAACCGCTCTGAAAGAAAGTCGGGCCAAGTGAATGTACCTAGCAGAGTTCCCGCTGAGCTCTTGTTGTGAACGAGAGATTAAACTGGAACTGGGAATGGAATTGAATGTGACTTAAACCGAGGCGGAGAAATGAGAGACTTTGTGGCTGCTTAAAAAGTATTTCACTCTCTCAATCCGGACTTCAGTACGGTGACGACTTCCAGTGAATCGTCTTGTTCCCCGGACTCTTCTAAATTTTATTTGGATTTTAAACTGAATTTATAAGTAATGCAGCTAATCCTGTGGATAGTTCCACTTTTAGCGATTGGAGGCTGCTCTGCTGGCCCCCAAAATGTGCTGCTTCTCCTGGCTGATGATGCCGGCTTCGAATCGGGCGCGTATCTGAACAAATTCTGCCAGACTCCCAATCTGGATGCGTTGGCCAAACGCGGCTTGCTGTTCAACAATGCCTTCACTTCGGTGAGCAGCTGCAGTCCCAGTCGCTCGCAATTGCTCACCGGAGAGGCCAGTCACTCGAGTGGAATGTACGGCCTTCACCAGGGAGTCCACAACTTCAACGTTTTGCCGGAGACGGGTTCACTGCCCAATTTGTTGCGTGATCAAAGTGGCGGTCGAATCTTGAGCGGCATCATTGGCAAGAAACACGTTGGAGCTGCATCCAATTTCCGTTTCGATTTCGAGCAGACGGAGGAGCAGCATTCGATTAACCAGATCGGCAGGAACATCACTCGGATGAAGGAGTACGCCAGGCAGTTCCTGAAACAAGCCAAGGACGAGCAGAAGCCCTTCTTCCTGCTGGTCGGTTTCCATGATCCCCATCGTTGTGGTCACATCACCCCGCAGTTTGGGGAATTCTGCGAACGTTGGGGCAGCGGCGAGGGGGGAATGGGCAGCATTCCCGACTGGAAGCCCATCTACTACGACTGGCGGAACTTGGAGGTGCCCGCTTGGCTGCCGGATACGGATGTGGTGCGTCAGGAACTGGCTGCTCAGTACATGACCATCTCCAGGTTGGATCAGGGAGTGGGTGTGATGCTTAGGGAACTGGAGGCAGCAGGTCTTTCAGACGACACCCTCGTTATCTACACCTCCGATAATGGACCTCCTTTCCCCGGAGGCAGAACCAATCTCTACGAACATGGAATTCGCTCACCTCTTATAATTAGTTCGCCAAAAAAGGAGGATCGCCGTCATGAGACCTCAGCAGCAATGGTTAGTCTTCTGGATATTTACCCAACAGTATTGGACGCTCTCCAGATTCCCAAACCTAATGACACCAAGATCGCTGGAAAGTCAATTCTTCCCGTGCTTAAGGAAGAACCTTCTATTAAAGAGAGCGATTCTGTGTTCGGCAGCCACAATTATCACGAAGTAACCATGGCCTATCCCATGAGGATGGTGCGGAACAGGCGCTATAAGCTCATCCACAACATCAACTACTGGGCCGACTTTCCCATCGACCAGGACTTCTACACCTCACCCACCTTCCAGCAAATACTGAACGCCACAATTCACAAGCAGCCCCTTCCATGGTACCGATCCCTATTGCAATACTACCAAAGACCTGAATGGGAGTTGTACGATATCAAGGCGGATCCCTTGGAAAGATCTAATCTGGCAGAGAAGGACAAGTTCAGTGGCACCCTCAAGCAGCTTAAACAGCAACTGTTCGACTGGCAGGTGGCCACCAAGGATCCCTGGCGATGTGCTCCGCATGCAGTGCTCCAGGAGCAGGGCGTCTTCAAGGATCAGCCTGTCTGTCTGACTTTGGGTCACGAGGCTCTGAACAGGCCCAGGCGCAAGATCCTCAGCCAGTACGAGGAGTATGTGGTCCTTTCCTAGACCTGACTAAGTATTTGCGAGATAGTGTTTGTTGTCTTATCGCACCCACAACAATAAATACTCTTAAGTGCTGATAACAAAATAATTCCGATGTTTTCCACTTCACAAGCGATTACGATTCTATACAACCACATTTGATTAAGCATGCAGCAAATTAAAAGGCTTTATAATATCAGTTTTAAGTTTTAAGTAACATTAATCAAACAATTTTTAATACAAAATAAACAGTAATTACAAAAATAAAGTGAAATAAGTGGTAGTCGTTAAAAATATTATTCTGACATTAATATCCACATTTTAATAAAAATGTAGGTATACCTGCTCATAATACCTCATCATAATTATTAAAATCACTTTCTTGTTATCCAAACAAATAACCAAAATTTGTTTATTTTGTTTAAAATATATGAGCTTATTAATTATTATACTATGTTTTTTCAATGCCTCATAAAATAGTGGAAACTATTTTCTTTAAATACTTTGTATCGAAATTTAAACGGAAACTCCACAGGTTTCAGCTTTAATTACAGAGAAACAAATCAATGTTTACAAAAGCATAGGAACAACAAATTTCAAAGCAAATATTATATAAACAACCATTTTATTTTGCGATTCTAGCATAGATTCCTTAAATCAATTTCCTAGTTTACAATAAAAACTAAGTCGTTAACAAAAGCAAACAGATTCTGTGCTGTTTTGCTTTCACCTTCAGAAATGGCAGAGAATGAAAACGAATTCCCCGAGCAGCAGCCTGAAAGGTTGCATCAGCCCAGACTGACAAACACTCGTGTCCTGGCAGCATGACCTCAGCCACTTTGGGGTGGCAGGATGGGGTCCTTGGGGCGGATGCTGCGTCACGTTTCAATGTCATGCCCACTGGGTGGCCGATGCTGAGGGGAAGGAAGCGGTTGTTGCTGTTGCCTTGTGGGTGGGGCTAGCGCCCACTTTTCCGCTTCTGTGTCTGTGTGGAAAATCGAAAATTTCAATGCTTCTCTGGTTTATTGGTGGCGCCGCCTGCGAATCCCCAAGCCCATCGTCCTCATCCCCAATCATCCCAGCACAATGGCATCCGATTCCGAGTGAGTGTTACACAACAGGCAGCACGTTTTAAGGTCAGCTGATGAAATGTGAAAGAGTAAACGCACGTTGGATTTTCTCATTTATGACTTTGAACGAAAGACACATTAAAAATTAAATTTTATTATTTTGGTTTGCATAAATTAGGTTCATCAGTTTTAGCGTAATTATTATATGTATATGGTTTATAATGTATATTATTTAAGTTACCGCCCACACAAATGCACAATTACAATAATTATTGTTTACACTTCTGCCCTCGTGAGTGGGTCGAAATTTGTGTGTGCTTGGAAAGATAATGCCAGGCGATGCTGAGGGTCCCCAGATGGAGCCCCCTCTGGAAATATTCGCACTGGCTTTCTGTCCGTTCACGAGGCAAAGTTTTTTCATCATCGTCGCTCTCCAATATAATTCTTTAAAATTGTTTTTCCCGCTCTTCGGATTTTAACTAATTTATTATCAACACAAGTTGCATGGATTTCAATTCAATTTCGCGTTATACGTAAATATATCTTGTGTATATCTGCTTAAACGTATATACATTCGTATATAGTGCATAGCTTGTTTCGTTATATGCCAACATGAGACTATTTTAATAATTTTATCGGTTTGTTGTTTGAATTTTTATTTCTGTTTCGGGTTCCTCTTTAAGTATATAAATATTTGATCTAGAGTTGCGGTTAGTAAACGCGTTAGTAGGTTCGTAAGTGTTGCTATGCTTCGATTGACTTGACTGGATTTTGCTTACGTTTAGAGTTATTATTATCAACATTTTTCTGGAAATCGTTTAACTAGTTTTATGCTGGTTGGTATTCTTTAGGAGGATTCTGTTACATTTACTTGCCGCTAGTACTGTTTATCAGTTGACATCGTTTTTAAATATTCTTTATATTGTTTTACGTTGCTGCTCAGTATAATTTATAATAAATACATAATAATAAATATACATGTAGATAATACGCTTAATAAATATATTTATACATATATTTGATTTCATTTAATATATATATATAGTTGTTATGTATATAATTAACAAAAAAACAACACACATAAAAAGGAGCAAAAAGTAGGATACAAATTTCGCTTGTTTCATCCTTGAAGAGAACTTGAATTATTCCTTACATTGAACAACGAACATCAAGAACGGTAATCCGTATGCCTTTTTTAGAATAAAGTGTGGGGAGTATTGTTTTTGCACAAATATACGTAGGTAGAGTAGGTATAGGTATTTCGGGTATATAATAAATATATGTGGGCGTATGATGTGGATACGAAGCGTTAGCCTTCAAAGGGACCTTGCATAGAGAGCGCAGGGGCGTAGGAAGGTTTTCAATTACAACGATGAGACCGGATAAAAGTATTAGGCGAAGGAGTAAGAACAACAAAAACAAAAGACGCGCCTCCATGGGTGATCGATAGTACGGGTAATTTAGTTAATTAGCTAAAGTGTTTGCTTGTTTTTGTTTGCCGCCGGCCAACTGTTCTAATACGTGATCTATTTTGTGTGGAGTTAGCACTAAAACGTTCGCACTGCAGCGAACAACGACGCCGGCAATTGAGAATTAAAAGTGAAAACGCAAGGAAGTCGCATTGCGCGCGTAACATCTTGTAAATTTAGTTAGTTAATACGTACATTAATTTAACTCGTAATTAATTTGTTAATTATTGTGTTGCCAACTGGTTCAAATTTCGCACATAAAATTTAGTTAGCTTGCTTCTTATGGCCACCATGAATTTAGCCTGCTCTGTGTGCTGCTAGCTAGCTAAGCCGTATCGTAATATCCGTAATCGTAGTTAACCCGCTCTTCTAATTCAACTATATATATATTTGCATGTATGTGCTGCTAGCTGCTGCTGCTGCTGCGTTTGCTTCGGCTGCCCGATTTTGCGCCTCTGGTGGCGAAACCAACATTAAGGTTATTGTTCTCCAATCCGCGATCTACGTACGTCTTCAGCCAGTTTGATAGGATGGGATAGATTCAAGGGATGGGAGTGCGGGATCTTGTTTCGGGGTCAGTTTCAGGTTTAGGATCGGGCCCAGCTTAGTTGCCGTTGGGCAGGGGCACCTGAACCTGGACGTAGGACTGCGGGAAGTAGCCGGTGCGGCCGTTCACCGCGCCCTCGTACCAGTTGTCGTCGACGCGATTCAACAGTGTGATGATGTCGTTCTCCTTGAAGGCCAGTTCGCCGGGGTTCTCCGGCTCGAAGTCGTAGAGGGCCTGGCAGCAGGGCTGCTGCTGACGTTGCGGCGTTACGGCCATCGACTTGGCGGGCGAGCGCATCGGCGAGGGCAACGGCGAGGCGCTCGAACTAATGTGAGACGGCGTGCCATCTTCGTTGAGGCCGCCGCCACCGCCGTCCAAGTTCAGATCGAGCAGCGTCTTGGGCACGAACTCGTTGCGTGGCCGGCTCTCCGCCTCGGATCGCTTCTCCTGCAGCGTCTCCTGCAGGCCGCGCAGGACGTCGGCGCACTGCGAGTGAAAGTCGTAGAGTGCCTCGGCAAAGGTGACCAGCTGGGAGACGTGCTCCGTGTCGTTCTCCAGCAGATTGAACATGCCCACTTGGGCCAGCTGGAGCGATTCACCAAACTTGTCCTCGGCACCACGAATCTCATCGTCCTTGGCCTGCCGGCGACGCTTGCAGTCGAAGTCCAGGCGCCGGCCCTGCAGCTTCTTGCGATGATGCATTACCTCCTTGAGGTCTTTGGTCTGCATATGATGCAGTGGCTCCAAAAAGTTCTGCTTGATGTTGTCGTCCAGCGAATACTTGACGTCGGCCATCTGTTTAAGCGCTTCGCCGAATTCGACGAGCGCCTGCGCGAACACGCTGTTGTCCTCGCCGAGCTTCTTCCCATAAGTCAGCATGCATTCCGCGAGCAGGCCCTCCGGCTGGGGGGTACGTATTGGACTTGGCCTGTCCGGACAGCTTCGAGATGCCCTTGACCGCTGCCATTTTGGCCCGTGCCGTGGGATTTGGTTGCAGGAACTCCTTCGTCTTCAGCTGCAGCTCCTCGACCAGCTCCACGGTGACGTCCGTCTTGCGTTCCATCTCCATGAAGTCCATGTCCAGCTTGGTGCCCTCCGCACCGCCCATCTTCTCGGTCATGTACTGGTTGGCCTTGTTGATCTGCTTTTTCAGTCCGGCGAAAGCCATGGTGCTGCTGTTGTTCGTCTTCTGGTTTCTCCTCTGGCAAAACGAAATGGACCTCGACGCGGTTGCTGTGAACGGGTTGGTTGGGTTAGTCGGAACTCGATTTCGGTTTCGGTTGCGCTTGTGCGCCTATACGATTTTCAATGTCAATATCAATTCATCAATGGGCTGTGAATGGCGCTGGACGAGCGCAGCTATTTTTAAAACGTTTACGTTTGGAAGACTTACGCGGCACCTGCACTTCTCCTCACTTCTATGCGCGGCTGGGGGCTGTTTTTTCTATCACTCTGGGGTGACTTCCACTTTTTCGTGTCTTTCGCTTTTTCGACGGGAGGCTGCTAATCGCGTAGCCAAAACGGAGCACTCTTCCCCGAGTTCGAGTTCGAGTTCTACTTTTCCGCTGGCACTTTCACTCGCTTCGCTTGCTCTGCACGTTCTGCCCTCTTTTCGCTGCTCTTCAGCTCGTAATCTTCGATTTTTTCCAGAACCTTGGGCTGCGTAATGTTTGAAGGACCGTGAGTCGTTACTACTACTACAAGTCGCGCGCAGGGGGGCGGGGGGCTTTGGGTCGCCTTTTCCTCTCGGCTGCCAAAAATCAATAACTTGCCTGTGTACAACAATTTCGGCGTTGCCGTATATTGGAATGCCTGGCCCCCTTGGGGCCCTTGCCGTGCAACGAGATTACCCTAAAAAATCCAGTTTCCCCCTACTGGCAGCGCTAAGTTAGCGAGAAATCGCTCCAATTTAGCGGACGCACCCTCCTTTTTATGGCAGTGTTGGGAAGGTGCCTTTTTATCTACATGAGCGAAGGCATTTATTCAACGTTCTGTGTATAAGTATAAAAGAAGTAAGTAAAATACATGTTCAAAAATGTTTTTTCTTGTTACTGCTACAGTTTGAAAAACGTTCTATTATAAACAAATTATGTTAACCATACCAAATTAACAACCAAAACTGTGCAAATTATAATGTCATTTAAGAAGAATAATAATTGTTTTTTGTAATTATTTTTTGTTTAATAGCTTTTTTAGCCCTGTGAAAAAATTCGCTTAAAAATTTGAGGCAAATCTGACTAGTGTAAAGTTTAAGTAACGATGATAACGCAAATAACTGGAATCATGATATCAATGCAAAACTTTATCAGTTAACATCTTCACATCCTGTTTAGCAAAAAAGATTCCATAGGCCTTTTAATTATCTACCCCACTTTGAAATAAAACGATTACAAATGTTAGTTTAAGTAACAAGTAGCGACTTAAAAAAAAAACATTACAAAAATATGAGATAAGACTGATGAATCATAACGGGATGCAAAATATAATTAACTCTTGTTGTGCAAAAAATAGGTAGCAACATTCCAGCAAAACAATCAATTTTATCTTGCCAAAGTGTGCTAGAGATTTCCAAGGGGAAAGGTCTAGATAAGTCATTTGTTATTGTAAGATCTGGTGACGTCACAGAATGAAGTAGCAACTTTGCAACATTCCAGCACATAACTTGGCATTATCTTTGGCAGATAACCCCCAGAAGGGTATAACACCGCCAACTGCCGAACAAACAGAGGACATGTAAATCAGTTCAATCGCACTAAAAAGATATAGTGGAGATACGAGAAGATAAGATCGTAATCTATGGTGTGTTTTTAATTGCGTATAAAAGCGAAGAGCCATTGTGTTTTTAGCAATTAGTCTCGACGAAACCACAACGACTGAGAACCAAACGAACTCAGAATAAGATGAAATTCGCAATTCTTCTACTGGCGGCCAGCATTGCCTGCATCAGCGCTCAGGTGAGGCGATACTATATAGTGGAATAAAAGTGAATGGTTATGCAACCGGATTTTCGGTTAACTTTTTGCAGGGACCTGGAGGTCTTGTTGCTGGCAATCCCCTGGCCGGAAATCCCTTTGCCGCTGCCAATCCCTACGCAGCTGCCTTTAATCCCTTCCTGAATGGACTTTTCGGTGGTGCTGGCACCGGAGCTGCCGCAGGAGTAGCTGCCCCAGTTGCCCCATCCGCTCCGTTTGGCGGCGCCTCGATTTCCTCCTTCTTCCAGGCGATCGTCCTGCAACGGGAGGCGGAGCGTCTGCTGTCCCAGCCCGATTTCCCCACCGATCTGGCCGAGCGTGTCCAGGAAGTGGTGGCCAGTTCGCAGGAGGCGATCAGCGGTTGCGACAACGTCACTCTCCCTTGGCTGCAGATCCGCTGCGTGAAGCCCCTGCTCTCCACCGCCAAGAACCAGCTCAAGGTCATCGATGACGAGTGGCAGGCGCGCCTCGCAGCCGCCACCACCCCCGCAGCCTCCACTGCCTAGGATCCTTCCAAGACCTGTCCCTTTCAAGCTGCCCCACTTAATATCCAATATAACCTAGCTAAGCAATCGACCAACATAGATGCAATAAAATTTAAATAAGCTTAATGCAGGAATTCCTTGTGCTTCTTTGTACGCAGAAATTTGGAGGGGGAAAGGGGAAAACGGATGGCTAAAAGAGTCCTGACCTAGGATATGCTTTGATGTGGCCGGCCGAGCTTTGCATTCCGCCGCTTTATTAAATTTCCCATCGGGAATTACAAATTTTGGCGTTGCCTTCTTGACGCTTTTCGGGGCGCAAATACTTGCCTGCTCACGTCACCGTCACGAAAGTCCTGCTTCTGCCCGTTTGACCTCGACTGAAAGGATGCTAATGCTCTAACAAATCAGTGATGTCATTAATTGGGACTCCAAGCCAGCAGGGGAAGTAAGGAAATTAACAATAATAGCTCTTTGTTAATAGGAATGAGAAGCAAAGTCAAACTAAGTTTATTTTCGCTCACAAAAATTATTATTTTAAATAAAGCAGAATAATACTTTCCTTACTTTTTCATTTGCTTTTAATCTGCTAAATAGCCGTATAAGATAGATTCCAAATTATTGCAAAATAATTTATAATGAGAAATGAGGTTGTATCTTTTCTATGTATCATTTAGTTTTTGTTTTTTATACTAGTATAAACATTTTTAGATTTTTGTAACTATGGAAAGTTTAAAATACCAGGAACTCCATAAAGACCATAAGCTTCTTTGTGCAATTAAAGGTTGAATGTTTTTGAGTCTTGAAAATGTTTGTATTATATATTGATTCACGTTCATTCAGATTTATCCTCTCCAAAGCGACATCTCTGTGACGCACACTTGACTCGATCCAGGGCATCGCTGGAACTTGACGCATTTTGGTCAAATATTTGAGCTGCGTTCCTCCGCTTTAGCCGTTATGCTTGGAGGTCCTTCCCCTTCCTTTTCGGGGGGCTATGACAGCCCTTTTATGGATTTGTCAATTGGCGCTGGCAAATTGTTTCCAGTGCATGATTTGGTTCTCGATTGGTCCTCCGTCGATTGTCGGGAGTTGAGCTCGCTTGAGTTGCGTTCAGTTGCAGCGGTAATGTTGATTTATGTGCCAGTGCAGCTGCAATTATCCAATGTCCTCAACCAAATTGTCGTCCAGACTGCCCTTTCGATTCAATTCAATTCGATTTGATACGGCATTTGCATTTGAATTCGAGCCATAAGCCAGGACCTGTGCCCATTAAATGGGGCGGCCTAACGAGCCAAAGACTGGCCCTCAATTGGCCAACTGGCCAACTCCAAGCTGTCGGAAGATGGATAAGCCAGGAACAAAGCCTGAATGGGTGAGCTTAAATTCAAATACAAATTCAAATTCAAATATGTAATTAAATGTAAATTTCAAACATACACAACACCCTGCGGGTTGGAAGGGGAGTGCAAAGTTTGAGCTTGAGCCACTTAATTGAAATATTTCGAGATTGAAACTTGAGTTGGCCGTTGTCATTACAACAACGAGAGCATCAAGCATCCGCCACCGCAACTTGTAAAACTTTCGGGTAGTGTTAGCCGCGAACTTCTCGGCCAGCCCTCTCGACAAACCCCAAACTGAACGAGCCACCCCTAAGCTCTGTTTTGGTAATGCAAAAGTTGTGGCATTTGAAATTCTCTCTTAGCAGCGGCGGCAAAAAATGGTAATGCTCGGGCACAGAATAAAATCCAGCCACATTCGGGATGCCCAACTAAGTGAGTATACATATATGTGCCAAAATTGGTTAGAAAAAACAAAGTGCGACACACGCTCCCTTCCAAAAACTGCATGTATGTAAATTTGTTTTGGGTTTGCGGCTTTTGTTTTGATGCAAAAGTTGTGCGCCCTCAAATTTTCCGGAGTAGGCAACAAAATCTCTGCGGCTTTGGCCAGTGTCAAAGTTCGTTAGTTCGCCGGCGATATTGTGGTGCCGAAAAATTAGTGAAAAGTAAATCTGCTCGGCCAGGGTCCGAATCGAATGAATCATCCGCGAGCCGCATGGTGTTTATCCGCTATTTGCTCTTCGCACTTGCTACTGTTTTTCGATCTCCGAGTGCCACTTCCGTTGGCTGCTGATAAAGCTGGCTAATTATCTCGAGAAATATACGGCTATGGACCAACATAAAAACATAATGGGGTTGAGGTTATCGTGCTTTATCTCACCCAGACAGATAGAGATATAAAGGTGGCTGTAAACACTACTAAAATGCAAAGAGAAGATAAGCTTGGGTGTCTTTAGAGTTTCGGAAAATAGTGCTTCAGTCGCTCAACGAAGGTTTATAGAAAATGTCGAGTGCAACGCTGATCGCATTCTTTTTCTTGGTTGTTTTGGTAAGTAGAGTATGCGTATTACCAATTATGAATTATCATCTAATTTTTTACTTTCTTAACAGACGGGTCAATCCCTTGGCCAAAATGTGGCCGTAGATACATCAGTTGATTGGGCCAATGAGTTGTTTAAATCCGCTCAAGTTATTGCCCGGGAAAAGTTACCCCCGACTACTGAAGCTCAAAATGATGCCAAAGATCAACTAGACTATTTACAAATGGCTGTATCTCATTGTGAAACGGAGTTGAGGACCACTGGAAATGTCGACAATCACAAAATATGTGTTAAAGCCGTGTTTTCCGCGTTTTATACTTCTCTGGATCGCTTGGCCTCTGAGAATTGGGCCATTTATGGAGCCACCTCAGGAGCATCTCGCATTGGCTTGTTTTGGTAACTCCAAAATACCAAAATATCACATGTTCAAATAAAAATTAAGATTCAAATTCTGTAACTCTTACTTCTTGATATGTATGTAGTATATGTTTGCCAAGGTTTTCATCTCTAAACACTGTTTAATGTAATAAAAAAATTAAATCAAAAAGTTAGCTTGTTAAATGTTGGTTTTCAATCATATTTACTTTCTGCTAATAAAATGAAAATAACGTTTTTAATCTAATTGGATTTCTTACAGAATTTTCAAACAGTATTAGGAACTTTTGAGTTAAAGGTCAACTAAAAATTCTTTCGGTGTATAAATATAAAAATAAATTTTCTCTTTTCGCTTGAAAGAGATTTTTTATGACACCCCAGAAAATGGTTATTTCGTTGAAATTTTTGTTTAGATTACTTACATAGTTATGAGTTGGCTGTCAAAAATATTTGGATTAATTTTTATTGGACTGTTTATTGTGTTTGTAGCAGCGCATCCGCGATGGGAGCAACTGGCCAGAGTCGTGGCCGAAAGGATGAACGTATCAGAGGAGTACAGGATTCAGGAGGCCTGGAAGGCGGTCATTTCCGTGGACACGCAGCTGCATGAATACTTCCACCGCAAGTTGGGCAATGACAGAAAAACCGAGGCGAACGATATACTGAATAGTGCGTACGCCGAAACGAACGCCTGCGTACGTGAATTCTACGCTGGAGGATTGGAGGATAGGTTCAGGGACTGCATCCGACACGTGACCCATCTGCACATGGACAGATTGAAGTCCCAGAGGGATAAAAATTATGGTGTGCAACAGGCTAGCGGAGCGAGTAGACTTAAAATCTGGCATTGATTACTGTGGAGCCGTGGAGCCCGATCGCTGGCAGGCGTCAAGTCTGCTCCCTTTGTGCCTTCTGCCCTCCGATGTACTTTAATTAGACAGTTAACTCGAGAGCCAAAGCACTGCAGTTTCCCATCTCCTCCTGTTTGGGTTCGTACTTGGGTTTCTTTTGGGATTGGATGGAATGGGTTGGTTGGGCTGGGGATGCCAGTCTAGTGCTCATTAGGCAAATGTGTGGTGGGGCGGAAGTCTGGGGACGGGGATGGAATGGGATGGCATCGAATGGCTGCAAGGGCTGCTGTTTCGTAATTATAATCATTAGACGCGAGACAAAACCCTCACAAAGCAAATAGCGACATTAGCTGCGTGGAAATGTGTGTCAATGAAGATGAATCTGCCCGAGACGCCAGATTCTGGGTCCCGAGATCTGGGAATTGCGCTGCGGATTTTGCCTCATTCAAGGGAAGCTCCTTGGGGTGAGTTCCAAGGCTGTTCGAATAATGACAATGCAAGTAAGTGGCGCAATGCATGCAAGTTTCCATTCAGCTGTTCAATCATTTGCTCAGCTTTAATTACATTCTTAAAGGCTGACGTAAGGAGCTCGAGAATGTACGCCAATTAAAACGGGCAAGGATTGCAAGTATCTTGTACAATTTGGCAAGAATTACAAATAGAAATTACACAGAAAAACTTGAAAATAAAGCACACTAGAAACACTGATAAATACATAAAAGAATCCGTAGATTGTGAAATGTAGTTCAAATTATTAAAAACCTCAAAAGTTATCTTAATTTGATCTTTTGTTATGCTTAAATTTATTCAATTTTTTTTACATTTTTGTATCACTTTATGATATTGCTCTTCTTTTTTCTGTAGTTTTTGAGCCTCTTTTAGGCAATTGCGTGAGTGTTTTAGTGTTTTTAGGCCTTTGAGTCCGCCTCAGAAGTGGTTTCCGTATCAGAGGCAGGGGCATCCGGTTTCGGCTCATCCGTGTTGCCAAACACACACATTGGACACTTTTCCTTGAGCACTATTCGGTACTTAGGATGACTTGAAAGGATTCGGAAAAACGTATGATAAGAAGGCAAATTCTGGAGGAATTTACCAAACATTCTTACCTTATTCCGTACACAATCGGATTGTAGACCGCACTCGTCTTGGCGAATGTGGCTCCCCAAATGGTTGTCAGGGGTGTCAATCCCTCGATCTTAAAGAGGCCAAAGTAGCAGATGACCAGGTAGGGGGTCCAGGCCATGAACCACAGCGAAATGGTGGTCAGAGCCACCTTGGCCAGCTTTCCCTCGGCGCTCTTGTCGCAATCCTCTGAACTCCTAAGCGACTTCACATTCATCTTCTTTGCCTGTTCCCGCATCGCTTTCTCATGAGCAGCCACGGCAGCGATGATGAACCAATAGGAGTAGCAGATCAGGAACAGAGGAGTGTAGTACACAAACAGGGAATAGGTAATCAAATAGGATCTTGGATTCCACATTCGTGTCATATAGTCAATGCTGCAGGCAGTCAGGTTTCCTTCCGGCACATAGGCACTCCATCCAACTAAAGGCATCACGGTCCAGAAAACAGCCATTAGCCATATGAACAGTATCTTCATTATGGACGTCTTGATGGTCATGGGTGTGCCATTAATTCCCTTCACAATCACATTGTACCGATCGAAGGCGATCATGCACATGGACCAGATGGACACACAACCGAAAAGGGATCCACATCCCGCGTAAATGTCGCACCACAGCGGTCCCAGCACCCAAGTCTCGTAGTAGAAGTTGATGATCATCACCGGTGACTGGGAGGCCATCATGCAGAAGTCGGAGAAGGCCAGGTTGAGAACCAGTAAGTTTGCCGGCGTGCGCAGCGACTTTGTCCCTCCGAAGATGTAGACCACCACTCCGTTGCCACAGCACGAGATGATCAGGATGGCTAGGGTGAAGAGGCCCAGGATTTTGCTCATCATCGGATCCATGGGAGCGAAGCGGCTCCAGTAGGGGTTCACCAGGTGCGCCATGTCGGGCAGCACCTATAAAAAAAAGAAAAGGATATAAATAGTCAAAGAACGAACTGAGAATTTAACATAAAACAAACTAATAGTGTTCCTATTCTATTGTAAAAAAAATTATACATGCATAAAATTAAGCTTTTATTATATAATCTCAATCTCTAATTGTAAGTGACAGCAAAAAAACAAATTAAATATTCTTTGTTCTTATAAAAGTGTTCTTATAATTTTTTCAACAGAAAAAAATTGAATCGATTAGTAACCCCTGAAAGATAAAAATTTATATCTTGTTAACACAAAAGTTACAATTTGTTCAATGTTTAAGGATTAGAGAATGATAAGTATCTATAAAATTATGCACATTCCTTCTTAAAGCAAATTATGGAAAATTGACTTGGTTTTAATTTTAATTGTTTTCCATTAAGTATTTTATATTATATATTTCACTCACATTATCCAGCACGGAACCATTGCCGCTCGACTGGGCCTGAAACCTGGGCCCAGAAAGGGCCAAATCGAATGGCGTCTCCGGCAAATGACTGCGCTCCATGCTCAGCTGCCCGCGACCCCTTCGACCACGCGAATGCTCATCGAACTAGATCTGAGCCAAGAGCCCGGATTGCCAGCCCTTTATAGCTGGTTCTTAAGCCAATTAGTTTCGAATCAAAATGGAAGACAAGTGTAAAAAACAACGGACAGCTGCCGGATAACAGTCAGTTTTATTTTTTCTTTAAGAAGCATACACTACATAACCTAAGGGCAAGATTGATTCGTATTTAAAATGGTTTAAGTTTGTGTGCAAGTCAAAAAGAAAGATCTTAAGCTCAAAGTGCTGCCAGAAATTTCTGTCCGCATTTCTGGCACAACTTTCGCTGTGTTCCCTGATTGCAGAAGTTGACCAGACCCATGTTCTGCAAATTCTGCGAACAGGAAGCATTGGTGGATGTGGAGATCTGGCCGGCAGAGGATCTGAGCTCCGCTGGAAGGACAAATAGATTGCTGTGTTTGCTCGTCTCTGGCATCGGACCAACACTTTCCCGCTCCGCTCTCTCCTTGTTGGCGTAGTAGAGCTCATCGTCCTCGGAACTGGGCAGCTCGTACTTGACAATGTCCACCTTTTGGCTGAGGATGAGTTGCTTGCAGCACTCCTTGATTTGGTAATAGGCAGAACGGAAGGTCTTCAGCTTGCGGGTCTTCAAGGATTTGTGCAGGTTTAAGATACGGATACGAGATTTAATGTTTAGACAAACTCACTGGTGACAAACTCTCTATGAAAGCGGGCAGTCCATTCTTGCCAAATGAACTTAGAAGTAGCACCTGGCAGTCCCTGCTGTCTCGGTTTCCACTTGCCCAGAGCAAAAGCTCCTTGTAAACAGCCTCTTCCATGGCCACAATGTAGTCAAAGTATTGAAAATCGTTAGCAGAAAGCTTAAGGAGAATATATAATATTGTTCATAAGTTACCAAAGAATATTTTGGCTCACCTGACGACAAAAGTGATCGGATCTCAGTCCATGTTCACGCAGAATTTGCAGGCATCGTTTGTGGGGTCGGCGACCAGTATTCCAAGTCCTCAAACCAGCACTATCCACTTCCCAATAGAGGCTTGTCTTGTCCATCAGATTTTGCATGATCACCTCGGCCATTGGGGAGCTACATGAGTTGCCTTCAATAGCAAAGTTTCTTTAAAATAAATATTAATATGTCTTAATTAACACACTATTTACCCATGCACACAAACACAATCTTTTTGTACGTCATCTTTCCTTCTCGTATTTTCCCACTTTTAAATAATTTATAAAATTTTTACACGTTCTTTACCTCTAATATAATGTTTGACTGGGTTTTAAATTTTGCCATCTAGATGTCGAAGCCAAAATGACCCAGGTTACTGGGTATTTGACTTTTTGCTCGCTGGCTTGCTCCGTTTAACCCCAAAGAATCCGAATTGAAGGTGCGCTAAATGACCACTTCCCGAAATTACGATCCCCACTAATGCACTTTTTAAGGTACTCGCAGTCCTCCCACTAGATTGAAGTCCTTTTGCTAGGACAATGGCGCTTGTTCTCTACTTGTGTGCCACGCCCACAAGGGCGCGAAAAAGGGGCGGGCGGCAAGATAGTGTCACGTGGCTGTCAGGTGTTGGCCACGTAGAGTCTTCTTGTCGCGAGCTGCATTCGAAATTAGTGAACAAGTTCAGCGAACTCTCGGTTGGTAAGGGGAATTGGATGAGGCAAGAGCCAATCCCACCCACTTATGCATAATGGCTTGGAGACATGCAGTGAAAAGAAATACGCTTTAAGGTTTCATATGCATACATTAGAGAATCTTTAAATAAACCAAAAGGTATGAGAACATGAGTGGAAAGGTGAGCAAAAAGGTTATTTGGTTGCACAATTAATTTGCTTTTGAACTATTAGAGTTTTCTTTTTAATTTTGCTGTTCACTTATTTAAGTATACATTTAATATTTTTTTATTATATAAAGTGGTTGAAGAAATATAACTTCTTATAGAAAAATGTATTTTACATTCAATATCACATAATATCAATATCAATATCCTATAAATATAATATTTTCTATTTTATGTTGGTGCAACACTTACTTATCTTGACGATACCCCTTGATTAGCTGCACTCTTCGGTTCACTTTACCCTTTCTACCTGTAACAACGATTTGTGCAATCCCTTTTTATGCTGATGTCATGTCACGAAGGCACTCACCGCACAATGCAGCTGGAATTCATTTTATTTCAGTCTCAATTAAACGAGTTCTGTCTGAACGGATCAGTTTTGAACATTTCAGATGGCAAGTGCGATGCCACCGCCTTTTTTATTTCGATTTGGCTTAACCTCTCGGTTGGCTTGTAACTTGGCCATTGGCAATATCCAATTGGAATTGCATTGAACGACTAAATTGAAAATGCAGCTGAAAAAGCATATTTCACTTATCACTTTTCACACAAAACACACAAGCAAAGGCCAAAACAAAGAGCGTTGGCCGAAAGGGGAAACGGAAGGGCGGGGCAGGAAGAGCGGGCCAAATGAAATTGTAAGCGCAAAAGTAAAACACAACAGCAACATGCAGTAGTTGCAACAGCAACAACAGCAGTAACAACAACAACAACAACAGGAGCAACAAAAACAGGAGCAGGAGCAACAGCAACAAGTCAGTCAGTCACCGGGTGAGTGGGAAATAATATGTGCTCGCATGCAGGAGCGTTGGATCCTGGCTGCTGGCTGGTGGATGGTGGATGGTGGAAAAGCGGGTTAGATGCCGGACGGAAGTGTGGCTCTGGCAGTGCATTGTTGTTTTAATTAAAAACAAACCTCCCGAGTTTCTGGCCCGACAAAAACAGAAGCTGGCAAAAAGTAAAACCAAAGTGAGCAACCTGAGAGGACGGAAAATGCATGGAAGCGGTTGGGTGTCTGCGAGAAAGTGTTGAATATTTAGAGCAAAGCTGGCAAAACAAAAAGCAGAATTGTGGGGAAAATCCCAAAAAAAATGTGGCACGAAAATCGCTCACAGAAAGAAAGAAAGAAATAACGAAAACCCAACGGGCAGGCACACACAAGCGGAAATGTGCGACTATCTGCTCATACATATGTAAGTGTTTGCCGCTTATGTGTGCTCCTGCATTGGCTAATGGCGACCGTAATGCTGTGGCATTTGCCAAATTAAAGGATGAGTCGGCCAGGAGCCGCACCTAATGGCAATTTAAATGAAGCAGCCAGGACGAACAGCTGCAGAACAACAGAGAAGAGAAAGCGTTTCTGTTCGAGGCCCGAACCGACTGGCAAATGCTTTTTGTCGACCACAAATGCAATTTACAGCAAAACAATCGGCGGTGGACGCAAAATGCGCCAGCAGCCCCACACAAGAAACTAATAAAACACACAACTTTGTTGCCGGCACTGCCAGGAACTGCATTAACTGACCAGTTGGCAAGGTGCAACAGCAACATCAACATCAGCGGCAACAGCAACATCCACAGCAACAGCAGCAACAATGGGGCAACAACAGGAGCAACAAATGCTGCAACAACACGTAAACATCAACAGCATCCTCATAGTTTTGGCCACAAAAGCACATACAATTAGACATCGGACGGGTGGAGCCAAAAGTGTTGGGTGTTGGGGAAAAGCCGAGTGGCTCGGAAAAGTGCAGCTCTGCCCGCCGTGTTTGCGGCCATTTCCCGCTGATTGAGGTTCAGCATACATACTATATATGTATTTCCGGGTTTGCTTTTTAAAATTAAATTTGCCGTGAGCAGATGAGGATATTTGTGCATGCAGGACTTTCTCCGTGTTGCTGGACGGCGCCAAAGGTCTCTTTGCATTGCTAAATAAATGCCACTACAACCACTTTGTGTGGGGTTTCGCTGTGCGTTCAGGTGTAAAAATTAAATTAAAACGTCTGCCCAAAAGGGGCGTGTCCTGTGCTAACTAATTAAATGTGTGTATGTGAGTAGGATAAATGTTTGTTGTTGTTGAACCCAAAAAGGTGAGCTCTAAAATATTACGATTTCATTAGTCCAGAGGTGAACTGCAGATAAGGAGAAGAGAGTAGAGATTAAATACTATCGTTTAAAGATTACGAAATGATGTCTGAAGATTTTATACTCTGATAGAAGAAACGTTTCTTGAGTTATACAAATCAAATTAGTACCAAATATAACTCATACGACACGTACGTCGTTATGAGTAGTACAATTTACAGCATATTTTTAGGCATATTAAAGAGTTATTAGAGTTTAAGCAAAATGTACAAAATAAGTTATTCCAAAGGATTTAAGTACATAAATAATGGGTAAGTCAAAAAATTTGATAAGTAAATATATAATTTAAAGAAATAATGTTCCAGCGAAAAACACAGAACATTTTTATAAATCCTATAAGTGAGAACCAGCTTTGTTTTTCGGTTTTTAATACGCTTTACGGAACCAAAGTACCGAGTACAATTTTTCTCCTACCCACATTATCTTATCTGTGACGCATTCTTTAGCTGATAAATAACAATATTATTGTATTGCCGTCTTTAGGACTTCGGCTGCTTTGGGTTGAAATATGTCTGGGGAAAACATTAACAAATGATGCAGGCAAACAACGGAAGCTGGCCGCAGATAGGCGGATCGGAACAAACCCAAACAAACCGGGTCTCATTAAAAAGCCAAAGGCAAATATGGTCGAGCGTCTTGGCAATTTCCTCAGCCCTAAATTCGACCTCATCAATAGCAATGGCGGTAGCCAGTTGAAAAGTCGTCTGGCCGAGATTTTTTGTGGCCGATAATGCGGCACGTAGCGGCAATTCAGCAAATGATGCAGGATACGGCGACTGGAAAGGGAAAGGGAAGAGAAGGGAAAGGAGCACGTTCCGGGGGCCAAGTCAATCGTCTGGAGCGGCATCTTCATCTTCGGACCAGCTCGTAAGTCATTTGCCATTTTGAGGTATTTAATGAGCCAAAAACTTTTCGCCGCACATAAATTAAAAGTCGGCCGGCCAACCTGACCCTGCCAGCCGCTTTCCCACCAGGATACGGATTTCCACGGGTTCTCGAGTCTGCATTCTGGGCTCAAGGGTCAGGGTCAGGTGTCCGTCTGACCAGCAATATGGCTCTATTAGCATGCCCATTAAAATTAGACAAATGGTTGCCATTGCCGCTTTGCCGTTTCGCATATCCGCAACTTTTGCCCAGTCCGCAGATTTATGGCTGCACGAGGGGTCTGAGTTGGCTGGATTTTGCGACTGGCCGGGCTTTTGGCCAGCCTTTCGGCCAGCATTTCAGCCTGGCTTCTGCCGAAATCACATACGCCACTTGAGAGAAATGCGCCGCTGCCGCTGCTGCTGCCACTGCCGCTGGTTATGATAAATGATTTTGTTGCCCATCAACCTAAATGCAAGTGTGTGTTCGCGGCAAAGTGATTCTGAAGGTCGTTCAAAGTCATTTGTATGGTTGGTAATTGGCAACTGAAGTCGTAATAGTCGAATAGGAACTGGAAGCGTATTTAAAACTATTTGTATTCTTTAGAATTAGTTGTGTTTTATAAAAAAGGATAAATACTTCAAAATATCGATAATGTTCTAAATTTTACTTTCAAAATACATGAACACTTTATTGAACATAAAAGGCTTAACCACTATATATTAAAGTTAATATGCTAGTCCAGGGCCGGAGAAACAGTTTTGAGTGGGGTGATGACCTCACAAATTTTCAATATCCCTCCCCCACCCCTTTTGTTTCAAAATCATTCCAAATCATGATGAGGGAAACACTGTTGACATAAACATTGGCGCCTCCTTGTTCGTTTTTCTGAGGCGCAGCATTCCGCTCTCGCTGTTTTCGAAAACTATTATCGCTTTTCAGGCAAAGCCACATATGATGCAATCGAGAAACGGCAGGAGGTTCCGTTTGAGTTGTGCTTTCCACGGTGGTCGCAAATGAAGTTGTTTGTGGCACGATATATGATGGATCCTGAATTGAACAGAATATATTTTTTAAAAGCTATTTTAATAAAACAACAACACCAATCAATCAAAATGCAACAGGTAAAAAAAACTATTTTAAATGTAAAATGTTAATTAAAATCCATTTAATATTACAGTCGAATCCCGATAATTCGTACCCCGCTAAATCGAAAATCGCGATAATTCGTAAAAATTCTGTTCCCTTGAAAAAAATCCCTTGAAAAAATCTCGATAAATCGAATTCCCGACTAATTCGTAAAAAAAGTGATCCCCTTGCCATTTCGAATTATCGGGACTCGACTGTAATATAATGTTAATTTAATGTTAAAATAATGTTAATTTAATATAATGTAAATGTAATGTTAACTAAATGTTAATTAAATTAATATGGCCACGTCAGCGACAATGATAATTAAT